CCGCTTCAACTTCGCCTTTGAGCTGGTGGTGGTTTGTTAGCCTTCAAGCCGCAAAGTTGACGCATTTATCAATAGAAAAAACCTTTGTTCCAATCTTAGTATATTCTGTAGAGTACCTCATACTTTTTCAAGGGTAAACAAACCTTCCGATGATTTTCATCTCCGGCAGTTTTTCTAAGACTTTAAATTGCGTACAAAATAGGCTTCAAGCTCTTGAATTTATATCAGGCTAGAAAGCAGCAGGAAAAAGCTCGGAAAGTTTCGTTTAGAATTTCTAACATTTGGCTCTTCATCTGTATTCAATATACGCAGTATTAATTTGCTACATAAAAAGTTTTGTAGCGAGCTAATTTGAAAATGAGAAAGGCTTTTAGCTAATTTTGGGATAGACAGCAAACAGTTCAAGTGATGGCTGTGCAAATGCTCAATGAAGTGGTACTGTAATAGTGAGAGGTTATGGACAAGTATAAAATATTGAAGAGACAGAATTTGCCTATTTCCTCTTGTTCGTAGTTCGAGCATGACAAAAAAGAGCACAACTTTTTTTATTCGACCCTATAAAAGTTGAGCGAGACGAGCTACAATATGCCAAACCCACTGCATCCCTGTAAGCACCACCTAGGAATAACATTCGCTCGAAATGATTCAGGTAGGAGCCCTATGTCAATACGGAGTCTAACGACTTTTCTGCCTGCAAAACTCTGGAATAGTAGTGGCATAAGGAAGCTGTTTTTTGACAGCTGCACAGATTCTTTTTATTCTTGCATCTATTAAAAGCTAGTGTTTCGATGTGTGTTTGATTAAGCTGTAGTATATCAATTTTCGCAACCTAGTAATTAATTAGCATATGTCAACTGTGCAAAACGATCAAAATGTGTTTACGTATTGAAACTTGAGTGATAATATAAATTGACTTTTGCCTAAGGACATTATATTCTACGTTGCATCTATACATTGCATTTATACGTTGCATTTCTTCATCTTTATGCTGTTGAATTTCATTTAGGTCATGAGAAGTTTATTCATGAGAATTTCTAAATCCAAACATCGTTTTCTTTTCGAGTTTATCGGGGGGAAGTTTTTTTTTTGGTGCAAAGATTAGTGCAGTTGCTGTGTATGAAAGCATGCACAGAATATCACAACATCTGCAAATGTCACCAA